TTTTCAAGGTCATTCTTCTGTGCCAAAATGGCACCAAGACCCAATCCAGACACATTGGTATGAATAATGAAGGTTTTGTCAAAGTTCAAATACTGTAGGATAGATGTATTAATAAGATATTGCTTTAATCTTTTAAAAGCAGTTTTTTGTTCATTTTGCTATTCATATTTAACATCCTTCCTTAATAAATGATGAAGGGGGTGAGCAATCAAAATGAATTTTGGAATAAACTTCTGATAGTAGAAAGCTAATCCAATAAATTCACAAAGTTGACACAGATTTACTGGAGCAGAAAAATGCTTTATTTTATCTAATTTAACTTTGTCAGGACGAACACTATCACGACTGACTATATACCCTAAAAACTGCAGATAAGGCCTAAAAAAAGAGCATTATTTATGTTCAACTTAAGCCCAATATTGTACAACTTATTAAAAATGATAGTTAGTTGTTTCATGTAATCATCAAAAGAGAGAAAATAAATAATAATGTCATCAAGATACATGACACAAACTTATCAATATACTTTGCTAGCACATAATTCATCAGATGCTAGAAGGTGCTGTGAGTATTGCAAAGACCATAAGGCATCACCAGGAACTTGTAGATACCCAAGTTGGTTACAAATGCAGTTTTCTTATAGTTTTGTTTCTTTATTTTCATCTGCTAGTAACCTGACATTAAATTTAGGGTTGAGAACCAGAAGCGCAGCTGAATACTTCCAGCAATTCATCAATTCTGAGGAGTGAAAAAGCGTTTTTTTTCGTGATAGCGTTTAACTTCTGGTTGCACTTCTTATGTCAATTTCATATATCATCAAGTTGGTCTGATTTAAATTGTTGGTATCACACACAAAAATAGTTTTTTTATTATTTAGAAAATTTTTTGCTTCTTGTCTTTGTTTTAGAGTTAAGTGAGTTTTATCTATACTTTTCTCTAATTTTTGTTCTAGAGGCTCATCCTCAGGATCAGGTTTATTTGACGGTAACTTCTCTATATGCAATAAATATATAGCGAGACTATAATAGTTTACCCACAGATTATCAAAAAGATTGCTATCTGATACTTTACTGGTGTAGAAACTTTTAGCTTCATTCAATACTTTATTCTCATATTCAAATTTCTCTTCATCTTCAAAGAAGGGATAATTTCTATCATATGATATTGGGATCTCAGCGACTTGGTTCTGATATTGTACATACAACCTACTTTCATTCACATGCAAACAGGCACGGATTTGTTTGAACTAATCCATTTCAAGAAGAAGAGTCTTATTGGCAGATTCAATGACTTGGAAGTTAGTTGAAATCATAATACAATTTTGAATCTGTGCTTGGTTTAGTCACAGGGTGCATATTTGTGTAATGTCTATTATATTATGATTTAATGATAATCTAATACTTAATATACTCTTAAAGTTAATATCAGTAACAGTAATAAAATTGTTTGATACCAGTAATTAAAGGTGGTTTTGAATTTTTACAAGTTTTTATTTTGATAAGAAAAACAATTTATATATTGATAGTAGCAAAGAGCTTCTATTTCATTTCCTTTTGAATTATAATGCTATTATAATATTGAATATTTGCTTGGTATGAATATGTGCATAGAATATTTAATAAGAATATACACAAGAAATTTTTATTTGCAATTTAAGGTAAATATTACTAAAGTATTTTTTTTAGAAAAATATTAATTATACTACACTATTTGGCCGGTTTTCTAATAAGGCCTGATTCAAATTATGTAGACACTTTTTTTGTTGTCTCTTTGACTATGCTGGTATAACAAAGTGAGTGATTCTTGTGTCTTAATATCATTAGCACATATATTCTTTTGTGACCTTTTTGGTCTTCTCTGAGGTACTTTTCTAATTCCATGCTTTGAACCTTCTTGGCATCGTAAAGATGCAGTAACTTGAACACGTATTTTCTTTCTCCAGGCTAATTTTTTTACTATAAATCTAACCTGTATCCCAATTGCAAGTCTAAAAGAAGGATGCCACAGCAGGATAAATATAAGTATCTTCTTTAAGCTAATATTTTCTGTAAATTTCAACAAACTTATGTATACTCTTATTTAATACAGGATCATTTTTTTTTAGAAGACTCTCTATATTCTGATAAAACTAACATAATTTGTCTATAGCACTATTACTGTAATAATTTTTGATTGCTAAATCTATAATTAATTAAACAAAATTAATTAGCTTATAATAATATTATTATGTATTTTATTAATTAATAAAGTTTTAATATTACTAATACCATCACCTTTAATATCTTTACTATATTCCATATTTT